TTCAATGAGTGGTTATTGCTAGAATTCACACACACACACACACACACACACAAAACCTTTGCAGATATTTTTGTATGTAGCTTAATAGATATCTGGTTTAAGGAGACTGCAACATTTGCATAAGGTGCCTGAAAACTCAAGAACCATTGATAAGTGAGATCTCTCAAAATGAGCTGATATATTAAAGAAGACCGTAAAACAGTAAATGAGCAAGTCGAATTTCTTTACCCCTGTAAACTATTTAAGCAACTTCTGCCCACTCTTTCACATTACTTATCAGGGGAAAAAAACAAAACAAAACAAAACATTCAACTGGTTTTTTGTAAATATATTAGTCTAATCTAAGATTTTCCTGATAAACAGACAAGAAACAGTGGAGAGACCAGTGATCCATAAATAATGCATATGATACCTCATCGTTTTTCTCAAATAGCAGTGATCTAGGAAGCCAAGTATTGGTTTTGGGAGAAGTAAAACCTAATTATCCCAATGAAACTATTATGTCAAGAGCTACTTTATACATATAATTGAGAAAGTATAATATCGGTCTCTTCGTTCAAAAAGACTGAATGCTTGAAGCAATCTGAGGATACAAGTCCACAAGGGATTTTTTCAACAAAAGGGCACATCTCCCTCAAGCCCAGCCCTCTGGCTTAAACCTCATGGTGCATATGCAGTCTTTATCAGAGCTCGCTGGCCTACACAGCACCATTCTGGGAAGTAGAAAAGGCATGACCCAAGGAACAGCCCCATGGTGGCAGGGCATGAGCCTTTGTGGGCCAAAAATGTCAACTGGTGATGGGGCCACAGTCAGTGAGCAGAGTTTGGGATGGATCTCAGCCCGGTGTCCCTTGTGCAGTGTACAAACTGCACAACCTTCCACAGAGACCCTGCTCATCATGCTGCCTGCCTGTCTGCAGATTTTATTCACTCTTGAAAAAACAAAACAAAACAAGAAAACTTGATTGCATGGAATCATCACATTGAGAGAGACTGGAAGGAATAAGTAAGCACTCCATGCAAAACATCTGTCCTCCTACACACAAAAAGGGGAGTGTGGTGGTTAGCAGGTAAGTGATCCTCGAACAATAGAATGTCTGTTCAGATGCTAGAATGCCGACCCCAAACAGAAATAGTGTTGTTTTCTTCCTTTCTGACTACTAACACCTGCCTTTCCAGCTCATTGTTTTAGTACTGCAACTCCAACAATCTGTCAACTCTACTGGGATCTCCAGTCTTTTGATCTCATCACATTTTCACTGTCATTCATTTCTCATGAATCTTCTCTTACCTCCTTACCTGGATTAAATTCCTAGTAAATCATTATAATCAGTCCTTTATATATATCCCCAACTCTCTTGCTTCCTTACATTGCTTTTGCCTACCCACTTACCAAAGCCAAAATCCTGGTTAATTCAACCCTCCCTCCTTTGTGTGTGCACCCATGCAGTTGAACTGTGCCTGGAGAAATTCAGTACATTAACAGCTTACTTTAAATTCATGACACTAACCGCAAGTGGCTTTTTTTTCTTTTTTTTTTTGAGACAGAGTCTCCCTCTGTCACCCAGGCTGGAGTGAAGTGGTATGATCTCCGCTCACTACAGCATCTGCCTCCCAGGTTCAAGCAATTCTCCTACCTCAGCCTCCCAAGTAGCTGGGATTACAGGCAAGCGTCACAACGCCTGGCTAATTTTTGTATTTTTAGTAGCGACGGGGTTTCACCATGTTGGCCAGGCTGATCTCAAACTCCTGACCTTAGGTGATCTGCCCGCGTTGGCCTCCCATAGTGCTGGGATTACAGGCATGAGCCACTTTGCTTGGCCTCAAGTGGCTTTTAATGCTGCAGTCATATTAAAATTCTCTAGTCCATTTGCCACTCTCCTAACTATTTTACATCTCTTCTTTTCTCAGAAAAGTGAAGCTATTGGAAAGAACTTGCACTGGTTGGCACCACCACTTCCACCCACCTAAGCATCTGTGTCTGTGTGCATTACCTTCCCTCGTGTTATTATTGTTGAAGTAGAAGAATCCTTTTTTTTTTTTTTTTTTTTTTTTTTGGTAGAGTCAATGTCTTGCTATGTTGCCCAGGCTGGTCTTGCACTCCTGGCCTCAAGCGATCTCCCCATCTCAGTCTCCCAAAGTGCTGGGATTACATGCACTGCACCTGGCCTCTTTTTTTTAAAAGAAAAAAAAAAGTTTCTCATATAAATATAAAATGAACATGTGCCAAAGATTTTACTCAACTCACTAATAAAGGAACCACTAAGATGTTGGAACTAGTTTAAAAAATAATCCTAAAAACAGATACATATATAGATACGAGGCATGTCAAAATGAATTTGCTTAACAGATGCACAACTGGCCTCTATAATGGGGGAGGGTAATCAACTGTGCCTCCACTGGGCAAAAGTCACTATATGTCTATGGAAAAGAATTATTTGCATTTCTATCAGTTGTCTGCCACTTACAGAGTTGTAAAATACCTCAAAGACAATGAAAGATACAGATAATAACTTGAAGAGACTACTAGATAAGACATCAGTAATATTTCTTGTTCATTTCGTCCATTTACATTTTTTTTCCTGAAACTATAAACAAACTTTGAATTTCTACCCAAAACTCAGCCCTCTTGGGCACTAGATTGGATTCCTTTTCACCTATCTGAGGACATTGACCATTCTTCCCTCTATTATATCAATTATTTGCCCTCTTCTCAACATTCCCACTTTCCTATCAGAAGATAAATCTGTTTTTGAGACAGGGTCCCCTTCTGTCACCGAGGCTGGAGTGCAGTGGCATGATCACAACTCACTGCAGACTTGACCTCTCTGGGTTGAGGTGATCCTCCTGCCTCACCTTCCTGAGTGGCTGGAATTACAGGTGCACACCACCACACCGGGCTAATTTTTGTATTTTTTGTAGAGACGGGGTTTCACCATGTTGCCCAGGCTGGTCTTGAATTCCTGGGCTCAAGCAGTTGGGCCGCCTTGGCCTCCCAAAGTGCTGGGATTACAGGCATGAGCCACTGTGCCTGGCCCAATTTTTTTTTTTTTTTTTTTTTTAAGACACTTTTTTTCTTTTTTTCTCGGATGTGGGGCACTGGCATGATCTTTTCTCACACTGCAACCTCTGCCTCCCAGGTTCAAGTGATTCTCCTGCCTCAGCCTCCCGAGTAGCTGGGATTACAGGCATGAGCCACCGAGCCTGGCCCCAAATATCTTTTTAAAACCTAACTCCATTTCCCTCACCAGATACCACCTGATTTCACTAGTTCCTTGGCAGCAAAGCTCCTGGAAAGATTAGTCTGTTCTAACATCAGTCCTTTCCCTCCCACTGCTAAACCCCCTATAGTCACTTTTTTTATTTTTATTTTTTTAGCTCTCAGAACTTTATTAAACTGCTCTTGAAAAGGTCTCCAATGACCACACTGCTAAACCCGACAGTTGTTTCTCAGTGTTCATCCCAGCATAGTAGCAGTTGGTTACCTCATTTAAGATGCGTTCTTTAATTGGTTCTGAGACATTACACTGGATTTTCCTCCTACCTCCCTGGCTGTTCCTTCCCAGGTTCCTCTGCTGATCTCTTCTGTTTCCTGATGTCTGAATGTTGAATTGCCCCAGTTCTCAGTCCTGGGTCCCTTTCTTTATCAATACTTGGTGAACTCCTTCAGTCTCATAATTTTAAACACTATTTATATGCTGAGAACTCCTAAATTTATATATTCAGCCCAGACATCACCCTGACCTCTAGACTCATATATCCAGTTGCCTACTTAACAGCTCTACTTGACTTGAACAGCACTAGCTGTTCTTAAGTTCGACATGATTAAAGGTGAATTTCTGATTTTCCTCTTCCCCGCACCTGAGCCACCTACATTCTTCCTGTTTTTTCACTTACTCGAACCAAAAGCCATGGAGTCTTCCTTGACTCTTCTTTCTTTCACAATCCAGAAACCAGTGGGTCTATGTTTAGAGCATGTCCAGAATCTACCTGTTATCATCTTTCTACTAACTACCATCGTGATTTTCATTCATTTCTTGCCTAGATTATTGCAACCGACTAAGTGAGCTCTCTGCTTTCCCCCTTATACCTTACAGACAATTCTCAACACAAGCTAGAGTGATCTTTCACAAACATAAATGAGATCATGCCACTACTGTCTCCAAACCCTGCAACGCAGCTGCCAATTTCTCTCGGAGTAAGGCTAAAGTTCTAATAACCCACTAGGCCCAATATGCTGTGGCCTCCAGTCATACACGTTACCTCGTCTGCTGTTCTCCTCAGTGGACTGTAGATGATCATGTATATGATACTCCTTATACACATCAGTCATGCCATGCTTCAGTGTCTCTGCACTGGCTTTTCCTTTGCCTGGAATGCACTTCTCCAAGACAGCTGCATGGCCTTCTCACTCAGCTTCTTCAAGTCTTTGTTCAAACATCACTGTATTAGTTATCTACTGCTGTGTAACAGTCTTTAGTCCTCTAAGACTCCAAGTCTTAGGATCTAAAAACATCTATTATCTCATTGTTTCTGGGGTCAGGATTCCAGGTACAACTTAGCTGGGTGCCTCGGCCTCAAGGATTCTCTGCAGTCAAGATGTCCCCAGGGCTCTTGTTCTACTGAGGGAGGACCCACCTTCAAGCCCACTCACATGGTTGTTAGTGGGGTTCAGTTCCCCATGGGCTCTTGAACTAAAGGCCCTAGTTCCAGGCCAGGCACAGTGGCTCACACATGTAATTTCAGCACTTTCGGAGGCCAAGGCAGGTGGATTGTTTGAGCTCAGGAGTTCAAGATCAGCCTGGGGAACATGGCAAAACCCCACATCTACAAAAAATACAAAAATTAGCCGGGTATGGTTGCTTGCACCTGTGGTCCCAACTACTTGGGAGGCTGAGGTGGGAGGATCTCTTGAGCCCAGGAGGTAGAGGTTGCAGTGAGTCAAGATAACCCCACTGTACTCCAGCCTGGGTAACAAAGGGAGACCCTGTCTCAAAAAAAAAAAAGAAAAAAAAGAAAGAAAGAAAAAAAAAGGGCCCCTCATTGGCTGGGGCCTCCTTCAGTTCCTTGCCTCTATGGAGGGACCTCTGCATAGAGCATCTCACAACATGGTACCCAGCTTCCATCAGAGCAAGCAAGGAAGGGCGCCCACAAAGGAAGACAATCTCATTATAACTTAATCTTGGAAATTAAAGCAAGCAAGAGCATCCACAAAGGAAGACAATCTCATTATAACTTAATCTTGGAAAAGTCTTGTCACTTTTGCCATATTCTCTTTGTTAGAAAGGAGTTACTAGGTCCAGCCCATACTCAAAGAAAGAGGATACTCAAAGAAGCCCAGGAAATTCAGACTACTGGGGACCATCAAAGAGGCTGCATACCACAGCTGCCTTCTCAATAAGGTGATCCCCTTATTTAAAATTGCAACCCAACCCCCTTGTACCTCTCCCTCTCTCTTCCTCTTCCTCTCTCTCTATCACACACACATTTCCATTTTCCTTTCCATTTGCTCTAGTGAGCAATAATAAATACTTATTGTTTTGAGTCACCTGGTTTTGAAGGTGGTTTGTTCTGTAGAAATAAACCTCTACAATGTACTTTTTCACTTATGTGACTGACTGCCACTAATACTGCTTGAGACTGTCATTACAAGACTGAAGGAAGGGAAGGATGTAGAAATGTAAACTTAAGACAAAAGAAACTATTTTAAAGGAAGGGGAACCAGGAAAGAAGAGAGCTCCCCGCTTCTAGTGAGCAAAGGCAGTCCCTGAGTTTCCACAGCCCTTCTTATTTATTGGGTAGAAAGTGCAGGGAGGAGGAGGTAACGATTGGTCAGCTGTTTAATTGATCACAGGTTCATATTATTACTAATAGGCTTCAGATATACCTAATCACAAGAAACACTGTGCTTGGGGCACGACTGCTCTCAGCATTCCTTCTAGTGGCAGACGCAGTTTGTCAGTTTGCCAACATTCTGCGTTTATGAGAAAGTTTGCTGTTTACTCATATAGCCTCCAGTGGTATACAGAGTTGATCATGACCCTCAACCTTTTGGCCTCCAACACACTTAGGTACATTATTTTTTCCTTGTGTTTCCTCAATGTAATGTGAGCTACATGAGGGCAAACATTTTTGTTTTTGTTTTTATTGTGTTGTTCACAGATACATCCCCAGCACTATTAAAGTGCCGGATATATAGCAGACACTCAACATTTATTAAAAATATGACTCTGTTACTGTTATCTGCATAAGTAACTAGTCCCCTGGCTTACTTTACTCTGTTGCAGAATTGCAATAATATCTTTCTTTCAAAGATTGAATGCAGTTTATATTAACACGTGTGAAATGCATCCAATTGTGCATTTATATTACCAAGAATCTGGTAACAATTCTCATAAAGAGGAAGTAAAATGAAAGCCAAAATACTTGTCTGGGAATCCATAAACTGTTACAATCTTATCCACATCTTTTTGTCAGGTTTTTCGATTTTTGGTTTTTTTTTTTTCTTTGAGACAGGGTCTCACTCTGTCACCCAGGCTGGAGTGCAATGGCATAATTACAGCTCACACCAGCCTCAACCTCCTGGGGCTCAAGCTGTCCTCCCACTTCAGTCTCCCAAGTAGCTAGGACTATAGGCACGGGCCACCACACCCAGCCTTTATCAGGTTTTATTAGAGAAATATAGCATTTGTGGGAATTGGAATAAATATATTTACCCTTCGAAATATTAAGATTAAGACCTGTTGGTGAAGAAGACAGTGATTAGTCTTTAACTTAGAGACTGAGATCTTTAATATTTGTTCTTCTCATAAACTTAAAAAAAAAAAATCAGCACTTTGAGATTTCTTGCTTCCTCACATCTAGACCTATAATCCTGTGATCTGCTATTAACTAATAGCATGACTAGTGATCATGAATTTTTTTTTCCCAAGACGCCCAGACTGGAGTGCAGTGGTGGGATCTCGGCTCAGTGCAACCTCTGTCTCCCAGGTTCAAGCGATTCTCCTGCCTCAGCCTCCCGAGTAACTGAGATTACAGGCACTTGCCACCGTGCCCCACTAATTTTTGTATTAGTAGAGATAGGATTTCACCATGTTGGCCAGGCTGGCCTCGAACTCCTGACCTCAGGTGATCCACCAGCCTCGGCCTCCCAAAGTGCTGGCATTACAGGTGTGAGCCACCATGCCCAGCCAATCAGGAATTTTTGACATGTAGATTGTGTAAAATCTTTGAGGTTAAAAAAAATTCATGCCACAGGAACCATGTAATCCAGTAAATGGGAAATAACTCATTCCTCTATAATGTTATCCCTCCTTTCTGTCCTTATGCAGTGAACGTAAATAATGTTCAGTGCAAAATGTAGCCCATAGTAATAGATGGAAAAGGATGGACTTTAGCTTATTAGGTTAATAAGTTACTTCTTATTACTTTAAGTACTTTAGCTTATTAGGTTCATAAGTTTCATCACCCTTTCCCACCTAATTGTCATGGCCAAATTGTACTTCCAATCTTTTTTCATCTTCCATCTGAAATTGTCTATAGAGTTTCCTTCTATGATTTTGCTTCTAAGACACAGAAACAAAGGGGAAAAAATGAAATCCATCATGCTCTGTATGTGCAAGCAAAACCAGGATTCTCCTCTACCAAACTCAGAAAGTTTATACAGGGCACATTTGTGGAAAGAACACAGAAAACACAATGCTTACTAATGATATTTCTCCTCCTGGATCAGACAAGAAGATCAGATTTTTTTATACCAGTTTTGATCAGTTTAATGCCTTAAATAAAAGGACCACCTGTTCCCAACTCTACACGTTACCCTTCTGAAACAGAAAAATAGCAATTTATGTATTCAAACTAATGTACTTAACATCTGCTATATGAAAGGCACAGAGGTAGGTCCCATGGGGAATACAGGGCTGCATAAGACAAGATTCTTGCTCTCAAAGAGCATACATTTCAGTATGAAGATGATGTAGATTTATCAACAACCTATTGCTTTAAGTTAAGATCATGGAAGAAATCTGTCAGTGCCCATCATTTTCTTGTCACCTTATCCTCTCTTCTACACAAAGTCCAAATCCTGACACCTAATAGACTATTTGTAGGACCATATGCTGTGCAGTTGCACTCTCAGAAGGGGCCCATGCTTGGTTTAATCCTCTGCTGTTGCTGTCTTGGAATTCTTAGTGATTTTATCTTTGAATTTGTGTTTGGTAAGTGAAGCCAGTGAGACAATGAAGCATGCACATGAGCAGTGGATGCATGTGTGCATGATTCAGGGCAGTCCAGAGTGCAGCTGAGCCAGTACCTGGGCCCCGTTGCAGTGGTAATGGTGGCAGCAGCAGAAGTAACAGTCAGGAGAGTGGTGGCTGTGGCTCCAAAGATAAAAGGGCTCTGCATATGGGCATTGCCAGAACTAGCAGTGCTCCCACTGGTCGCCTGGGAAGGGACCAGCTCACCTGTCCCTTCCCAGGGCTTAGCCCTGCATCATCTGCACAAATAGTAACTCTCCACCCTGAGTACTGGGACAGGAACTCCTTCCGCTAACTTGTCAGTAAATTAGTACAACATGTATACAATAAAAGTGTATACATGAACATAGTCATAGCATAGCAGGGGGTTATTAGAATTCTTGAAGCATTTAGAATGTCTAGTTTTGAAAACTACTACAACACTGCAAAGCAAATAACCTCAGGCTTAGAAACAGAAATTAAGTTTAAAGATTGTCACATTCTACAGAAAAGAATGCTATTGTCCTAGGAAGTACAAACCAATTGTTTAGCTTGTTTAGCAGAAAGATAATTAAACATTTTTTTTCTTGTAATTGAAGAGTCAGTGACAGAATACAAAAACAGGCCTTATGAATTATATACAAATTATGAAGCCACTTTCACTTTCTTGTAAGACCTCCACAAGTTTCAGGAAATATTTCCTTATGTCTGCAGAAACATTAAAATATCATTGTATAAATTTATACTTAAAATTAAATTCAGATTTTTACTTAAAACTGAGTTGTCTAAGGAGTTAAGTCCCTTTAGAAAAATTATTCCACAAGAACCAATAACTCTAGAAGTACTAAAATTTATATTTCAAAATAATTTATCAGAAATTTATATCAGTGCTGTCACAGTTTATGAAACACTCTTAACAGCTGCATCAGTAGAAAGATCCTTTACAAAATCAAAAATTATCAAAATTTATTTGTGATTTTATATTTCCCAAGACTGGCTGGTGTTGCTTTCAGTCTTATCTATTGGTAAAGAAATTGTGTGACATAAATTTCATACCTATTGAAAATGAAAGTGAAATGAAAAGAATAAATTTTGATGAATTTGCAGAAAAATGAGCCAGAAAAATATAGTAGTCAGGACATCACATTAATAAATGATTATTGTTTATTGTATTGTATAAAATTATGACATCACGACTATTAGTTTTGCAATGTTTAAGTTCATGTAGTTACTCCAGTATCACTATTATCCCTATTACATTAGTATCTTTAACTGTATTTTTTCCTGTTTTTTACAGAGGAGGTCCCGTATTTTCATTTTGCACTGGTCTCAGCGAATTACACAGCCAGCAATGACCACAAGTAAGAGTATTACAGATTTTTGTTATAAGCCATCATAGTAGAAAATGCATGCCTATGAATGCTTAAGGAGAGTAGAAAAAGAGCAAGAGATGCAAGAAAATGCATGTTCTGAATGTGTGCCATACAAAATCTATCAGGTAATAGGCATTTAATCTATGTTAAGAGTAAAGCAATATAGCCGGGTGCGGTAGCTCATGCCTATAATCCCAGCACTTTGGGAGGCCGAAGCAGGAGGATCACGAGGTCAGGAGTTCAAGACCAGCCTGACCAATATGATGAAACCTCGTCTCTACTAAAAATACAAAAATTAGCTGGGCGTGGTGGCGCACGCCTATAGTCCCAGCTACTCGGGAAGCTGAGGCGGAAGAATCGCTTGAACCCGGGAGGCAGAGGTTGCAGTGAGCCAAGACTGCACCACTGCACTCTACCCTGGGCGACAGAGAGACTCCACCTCAGGGAAAGAAACAAAAAAAAACAGAGTAAAGCAATATAATACTGTGGGCTATAGTGCAGAATTTGTCATAAGGAAAAATCTGTTTGCATTTGATCCAAGACTGATGTCACAAAGCAATCGGGGACAATGCCTTCAATGGATGCCATTCTCATTAAAATTAGGAGTTTCAGCTGGACCCAGTGGCTCATGCCTGTAATCCCAGCATTTTGGGAGGCCAAGGCAGGAGAGTGCTTGAGCCCAGGAGTTCAAGACCAGCCTCGGCAATGTAGTGAGACCCTCATCTCTACAAAAAATAGAAAAAAAACTAGCTGGGTATGGTGCCACGTACCTATAGTCCCAGCTACTTGGGAAGCTGAGGTGGGAGGATAGCTTGAGCCTGGGAGGTCGAGACTGATGTGAGCCGTAATCATGCCGCTACACTCTAGCCTGGGCAACAAGAGGGGACTCTGTCTCAAAAATAATAACAAAAATTTAAAAATTACATGTTTTGCTGTCCAAAGCATAAGTCTGACAGGGTTAAACAAAACATCCATTCAAATGGGAGTCAAATTCAGGTGTCTTATAAATAGCAAGACTGTTAGATTGTCCTTCTACAAGCATTCTTAGTTTTCAAATATGGAGAACTATTTTTCTAAAGATCAGAGAAATGGCCACCACAATATGGGCCCACCTCATCTATTTTTGGTTTCTTCAAAAATGATGACTCCAATGAACTTTGCAGTAAAAAAAAAAATGACAATAAAGATGACTTACTTGTGAAAAGTAAACAGCAGGGAAAAGCATTGAAGCCAGATAAACCAAACCTGCTTCCCATAAAGTGAAAAAAGATCCACTGAATTATAGTTGTTTTTATTTTTATTGATGGTTGCATAAACGTAACTAATTTGTTGCTGAATTAAGAAATACAAGACACATATTTACCCTAAATAATTTTAGTTCTATCTTCTGGCTTTTAGTGAAATTATCAATTTCTAGGTGATATAATTTGTGTGCTGGCTGGGCACAGTGGCTCACACCTGTAATCCTAACACTTTGGGAGGTGAAGGCAGGAAGATCACTTGAGCCCAGGAGTTCAATACCAGCCTGGGCAATACAGTGAGACTGTGTCTCTAAAAGGAATTTAAAAATTAGCTGGGCATGGTGGTGCATGTGGGTAGTCCCAGCTATGCAGGAGGCTGAGGCAGGAGGATCGCTTGACCGTGGGAGTGAGCTGTGATCACGCCACTGCCCTCCAGCCTGTGTAACAGAGTGAGACCCTATCTCCAAAAAAAAAAAAAAAAAAAAAAAAAAAAGTGTGTCAATGCTTTTTTTTCTTCCTTCTTTTCATTTTTATTTTTTCCTCACTCTGTCACCTAGGCTGGAGGACAGTGGTGCAATTATATCTCACTGCAGCCTCTATCTCCTGGGCTTAAGTGATCTTCCTGCCTCAGCCTCCCAAGTAGCAGAGACTACAGGCACATGCCACCATACTCAGCTGTTTTTTTTTTTTTTTATTTTTTGTAGAGATGGAATTTCACCATGTTGCCCAGGCTGGTCTTAAATTCCTGAGCTCAAGCAATCTGCCCACCTCAGTCTTCCAAAGTGCCGGGATTGCAGACATGAGCCACTGTGCCTGCCCCAATGCTTTTAATGGGCCCATTTTAGCCACATTTCTAGTACTTATATTATTCAAATAGACTCAGAAAAGCTGTAAGCCTGTACAGAATTACAGTGTAAGACATCACAAACAATGTTTTAAAAATTAGAAAAACCAATTACAATACTTATAAGAAAGAAAAAATAAATATTCACAATATATAAACTGCTCTTACAAATCAGTGACAACACAACTTTACAGCATGACAGCTTTGAAAGAGGAGCACCAGATAAGAACTGTCTGGGGCGAGTATAGAAGAGTCTCACCCAGTAGGGTGAGTGGAATGGTTGGTGATTATAGGCTGACAAAGCCCTGGGCTTTTTCTTAGCCCCAGCTCCCTGCCTTCTCCCCTCACTGCCCCCTCCTGTGACTCTAAATCACTACCTAGCAACTGAGGTTTGGGTTTTACAGTGAAAATAATTTTCTGAGTCAGAAAGGAGTCAGAAAAGTGTGTTATCAGATAGCATTCCATCAGCACAGTGGTAAAAGCAACACAAACAAAAAACAGGACTCTTTCTCTACATACTGTCTGGGACTTTGGGACCTTCACTGCAGACCTCTTGTGGCAGTGTATGTGTGATTCCAGTCGTATGGTGGGTATGTGGTTAGGGTATTATTACATCGTAGGTCTATATAAAGGGCCAAGTCCCTTGCTCCGACATGCAAAGAAAGGACTGCAAACTGGCAGGCTGCAGGTCATACCCTGCTCATAGACAGCTACTGTTTTGTATGCATAGTTTTGTAAAATTGTGAATTAGTGTAATGGTTAATTATATGTGTCAACTTGGTTAGGCTATGGGGCTCAGTTGTTTGTTCCAACACTAATAACGATGTGGCTGTGAAGATATTTTGCAGATATAATTAATATCTACAACCAGTTGACTTTAAGGAGTCTACTGTCAATAATGTGGGTAGGCCTCATCTAATTAGTTAACAGCCTTAAGAGCAAAATCCGAGATTTCCTGGAGAAGGACTGTAATATAAAAATCTGGCTTGAGTTTCCAGCCTGCTGGTCTTTTCTAAGATTTCAGATTTGCCGTGTGCCTCATACTGGTTCTGTTTCTCTGGAGAACCCTGACTGATATAGTTACTATGACACAGACTATTAATTGCTGACCCCAAGAGTCTTTCTCCTTTTATTCCCTATAGAAAGCGCCTCTGAAATAGAGACTACATTTCCCAGCTTCCCTTGCAATTAGCTGTCACCATGCAGCTAAGTTCTAGCCAATAAGACGGAAGCAGATGTGTTTTGCGGCAGTTCCCTTAAAACATACCTGAAGCATACCCTGTGTCTCCTTGTTTTTCCAGCCAGTCCTCCATCCTTCTGCTGGGAAGTTGGATGCTAGAGCTCTTGCAGCCACACTGGGCCATGAAGACAAAGGTCACCCCCTAGGAATGATAGAGCAAAAGGCTGGAAGGAACCTGGATCCCTGATCTCTGTGGAGCCACTGAACTGCCTCTAATGAAGGAAAACATTTCTCTCTCATTTATGCTGCATGTTCTTTTCGATTTTATGCTATGTTTAGTGGAGTATAATCCTAATTTGATACAATTGCCAACTTTTAAAAATTAGGAAATTTCACACAAATATTCAGCTCTCTGGCTTTTCTCTTGAAAATTTGGTGCATCTGACAAAACTTGAGGTCATGCTTTCCATTGCAGCAATTGACCTGGCAGAATAATGGATGCCTGCTTCAGACAGGGCTGGAGACCCCACCAATTTTTTTTTTCCCTTCATTTAGACTGGGGAGTGGGGCAAGATGGAAAAACTGTGGATGCCTACTTTATAACTGTCTTTCTCCCTGCATCCTTTTTAGCAAGAACATTTCAACATTGATGTAGTCTACAAGGGAAGATACTGTGAGAGGAGAAAGGAAGAAACCCTTCAGGCATCAGTTAGGGTGGGTCTTTGGTTAAATTCTTTCAAACAAAAGAATGGCCTGAAAAAATCAAGCTGCAGGCACAGATAAGGAGATCTGCACAGAGGGCCTTCCTAAGACATTCCAACAGCCGCACAGATATAAAAGCCTACAGAGATGACTTGCCCAGATATGCATGCAGTGGAAAATTCCATCCCCTAACACATGCGCAGTAAGGGGAACAAAGCAATACGGAGTAAAACTTTAGCTAAGGGCCCACACTCACACTAGAAGGATGAGGTGGAGTTACCAGAAATTCATATCTTATGCAAATGAGATGCCCAGTCCTCACCAGTTTCTTATAAAAGCCTTTGCGGTCACCTGTAAAAACAGCAACCCTCTTCTGGGTCCGCTCGCCACCGTGGAGAGCTTTCTTCCTTTGCTTATTAAACTTTCGCTGCAACTTCACCCTTTGCATCCACGCTCCTTAATTTTCTTGGTCATGAGATGAAGAACTCCAGGTGATACCTCACAATGAGAGACTGCTACATTATGGTGCACTGGTGAAAATGTAACATTTCTGATGGTGGTGGAAGCAGAGGCCATCCTTTGCCGTTTCATGCCCAATTCTGTAGGCCTGCCTCAGGGAGAAGGGGTGCACAGGTCTCAGCATCCATAGACTTCATGGCGGTGAAGTTCTACTCTCAAGGTTTGGGAAGAGGGAATGAGAGGGTCTTCTACTCCATGGCTGCAACTTTTTCTCATTTTAAAGATCCTCATCTAGTCTAATGGATTTATATTTCTCTGGCTGATGTAATTTTGACCCTACTTCTTGGTAATATCCAAGCCTTAATTTGACGAAAGAGTATCACCCCCACCTAATTTCCAACCACCTCTCTGCCCTGAGTAGCTTCATCAAACTTCACACTTTGACTTGACAATGGAGAGAGGATTTCCCCTAACCTGGGGGAGGATGGAGAAGATGGAGGGGATGGTGGGTGGAGCCTCAGTTGCTGTCAGACCTAAACCAGACTTGGCAATAATTGGGGGAGATGGAGTACCCTGGGTTGAAGGATTCTTGGTGAGTTACAGACCCATTATTGTCTTTGGCTGTAAATGAACTCAAGGTCGCTAGGAAGTGAGCAGAAAGTCAGATGAACTCTGTCTCTCAGAGGCAGGCCAAGGGCAAAGAAGGCACAGAAGCCACTTCAAAACTGCTCAGGCCTTTTGGGAGGAAGGAGTGGGTAGGGAATGGTACGGAATGAGGCTGACTTTCAAAGATGAAGCTGTGACAGATCAGAAATCTGTATTTTTGAGCCAGACTATGTCTGTGTCTAGATTTGCCTTTGTCTTTTTGTTGTCAGAATTTCATTAAACTAATTCTTCATTCATGTATGAGTGTTTTCTACTGCCAGGCACTCTTTAGACAAGATTCTAACCCCAATGACAGTTACGTTTTAGTTGCTAATACAGATAATAAATATAAGAAGTAAACAAAGGCCAGGCATGCTGGCTCACACCTGTAATCCCAGCACTTTAGGAGGCCAAGGAGGGTGGATCATTTGAGGTCAAGAGTTCAAAACCAGCCTGGCCAGTATGGTGAAATCTTGTCTTCACTAAAAATACTACAAAAACAACAACAACAACAACAACAACAAAAACTGGGCATGGTGGCACATGCCTGTAATTCCAGCTACTTGGGAAGCTGAGGCATGAGAATTGCTTGAACCCAGCAGGCGGAGGTTGCGGTAAGCCGAGATCACACCATTGCACTCCAGCCTGGGTGACAGAACGCCACCCTGTCTCAAAAAACAAAAAGCAGGCCGGGCATGGTGGCTCACACCTGTAACGCCAGCACTTTGGGAGGCCGAGGCTGGCGGGTCACTTGAGGCCAGGAGTTCAAGACCATCCTGGCCAACGTTGTGAAACCCCATCTCTACTAAAAATATAAAAGTTAGCTGGGCATGGTGGTGCATGCCCGTAATCCCAGCTATTCGAGGAGGCTGAGGGAGGAGAACTGCTTGAACCAGGACTTGGGAGGCGGAGGTTGCAGTGAGTGGAGATCACGGCCCTGCACTCCAGCCTGGGCTACAGAGTGAGACTCTGTCTTGAAAAAACAAAACAAAACAAAACAAGAAGTAAACAATTAGATAATCAGGATGGCCAGGCATTGTGGCTCACACCTTTAATCCCAGTACTTTGGGAGGCCAAGATGGGCGGATCACTTGAGGTCAAGAGTTTGAGACCAGCCTGGCCAACACGGCAAAACCCTGTCTCTATTAAAAATACAAAAATTAGCCAGGAGTGGTGGCATATGCCTGTACTCCCAGCTACTCAGGAGGCTGAGGCAGAAGAATCACTTGAACCCAGGAGGAAGAGGTTGCATTGAGCCAAGATTATACCACTGCACTCCAGCCTGGGCAACAGAGAAAGACTGTCAAAAAAAAAAAAAAAAAAAGATAATTTCAGGCAGTGGTAAGTGCTACGAAAAAACTTTCAAAAATTCCCAAACTTAAAAAGAACCAACAATGAGACAGAGTGACAAGGGTGAATGGAAGAGTCTATTTTAGATGGGTGGTCTGGGAAGGTTGCTCTTGAGGAAGTGAACTTTAACCTAAATGACCAGAAGATCTTAAAAAAAGAATGTTCTCAGAAGAGAAGAGCAGAAGAAGTATAAAGAGTCTGAAGTGGAAAGAAGCTCTTGGTTGGGCATGGCACATGAGGTGGAGAAAGCCAAGAGACGAGGTCACACAGGGAGGCAGGGGTAGCTCACATTAAACTTTCTTTTCTTTTTTTTTTTGTTTTTGAGACAGAGTTTAGCTCTTGTCACCCAGGCTGGAGTGCAATGGTGCAATCTTGGCTCACTGGCTCTTGCCTCCCGGAGTTAGCGGTCTCCTGCATCAGTCTCAGTAGCTGGGATTACAGGTGCCTGCCACCATGCCCCTTTGATTTTTATTTTTAGTAGAGATGAGTTTACTCCATGTTGTAAGCTGGTTCGAACTCCTGACCTCAGGTATCCATTGCCATGTTGGCCAAGCTGGTTTCGAACTCCTGACCTCAGGTGATCCACCTGCCTCAGCCTCCCAAAGTGCTGGGATTACAGGTGTGAGCCAATGCACCCGGCTTAGCTCACATTAAACTTTCATTCAGAGATAGGGGCTTTGGACTTTATTTTCTGTCCATTTAGAAGTCATTACTTTTAAGCAGTGGAATGAAATTATTTTAATTTTGAAAGCTCATTCTGGCTGCTGGTTAGATTCTAGATTGGCAGAGGCAGGAAGACCAATTAGGATGCCATTTAATGGCCTGGGTGAGAAATGACACCTGGTTTGTACAAGGTGGTAACAGCGGAGACAGAGGTGAACAGATTCAGATAGATTTTAGAATTAGAGACAAAATTTGCTGGTGGATTGGATGTGGGGTATGGGGGAATGAAAGTAATCTAACATGGTGGGTGTTGGTTCCATTTACTGAGATGGAAAGCCTGAAGGAGGAACAGGTGTTTGGAGGGAGATCAAAAGACCTGTTTTGCCCTTGCTCTGTTGGAAATGCCTGTGAAACATCCAGAAGGAGATGCAAGTAAACAGTTGGATAAATGAACCTGGAGCATGTATTTAGCATTCTTTTTGGAATTTTCAGCCTGCTTGTGGAAACCTAGGAAAACTCAAGAATGTAGGGAAAGGGTTGCCCTCCCTTTCCCCTGCACCAGCAGAGTTCCCACACAATGGTCCCCATCATTTAAAGGGGTTTAGCAAGCTGATGGGTAGCAGTGTGCTTTGTTTCATGTGCTTTAAAGAGTTGAGAAGGTCAAGCAAGTTGCAAATTGCTATTCGTCATTCACTTACATTTGCTGAGTGATTTTTTTTTTTTTTTTTTTTTTGAGACAGAGTCTTGCTCTGTTGCCTAGGCTGGAATGCAGTGGTATGATCTCAACTCACTGCAACCTCCACCTCCCGGGTTCAAGCCATCTCTTGCCTCAGCCTCCCAAGTAGTGGGGACCACAGGCGCATGCCACCACACTCGGCTAATTTTTTTATGTTTAGTAGAGATAGGGTTTCACCGTATTGGTCAGACTGGTCTCGAACTCCTGACCTCAGGTGATACACCTGCCTCAGCCTCCCAAAGTGCTGGGATCATAGGTGTGAGCCACCGTGCCCAGCCTGAGTGCTTTAAATTTGAATGATCTTCAGTTGACTCTTAGCGTGAAGTTTCTGGTTTCTGCTTTTCCTCTTTCCTTATATCTCCCTGCCCTGGCTTCTCTAACCAACCTTTGCTCTGTGAACTATTTAAGGCAAAAAACTTTAATCTGCCCTTTGCTGATTATGGGGAAGGAGGGTTCTCCAAAAGAGTTCAGGAAATAGCTCACTTCTCCCTATTTCTGAAACATTGAGGATGAAAACAGAGAGTGATACTGACCGGAGGCCGGGTTGGAAGGAATAATTTTAGGTCTGGTGGCCAGGTGAGCTGGGCTAATACTGAAGTCCAGAATCAAGAGCTGTTCCCACCCAGTTACATGCAGCACTGGGCTAGGGGCAAGCCCCGCAGAGAACAGCAGATAATGTTTTTCCTTTAGGTGTCCGTCTCCCCAGAGGAAGAAGGCAATGGAGCTGAGCCCAATATGCTCAGTTACACTGCTCAGATGGACTCTACATCATCAGAGGGGAATGACGAGGGCACTGAGAGAGGCCAGGAAATAGTCCTTTTCTTTCTTTCTTTTTTTTTTTCTGAGACAGAGCCTCTCTCTGTCACCCAGGCTAGAGTGCAGTGGCGTGGTCTTGGCTCACTGCAACCTCCATCTCCCGGGTTCAAGCAATTCTTCTGCCTCAACCTCCCAAGTAGCTGGGACTATAGGCACACACCACTATGCCCGGCTTACTTTTGCATTTTTAGTAGACACAAGGTTTCACCATATTGGCTAGGCCGGTCTCAAACTCCTGACCTCGTGATCTGCCCGCCTCGGCCTCCCAAAGTGCTGGGATTACAGGCATGAGCCACTGCACCCGGCAGGAAATAGTCCTTTTCATAGAACCCTAGAGTGGAGAAACAGTGTTCCCTAACAGTTAATGAAAATGTTCACCATTAATTAATTGGCTGGTCTTATATGTTTAAATTTTCATAAAGTAGATTTTCAGTAAGTGGAGCATAGATGAATTCAACAAACAGATATGAGGCATAATTCTGCTACTTACTAGCTGTGTAATTTGGGGAAAGTTCCTTGACCTAAGTCTCAAATTTCTCATTTGCAAAAATGATGACAGAAATAATTCATGCAACAAACTTAGTGCTCTGACTGGATCAGAATAGCATTCAATAAAGTTTTACTACTACTTTAATAACTATTCCTATTACCTTCTTATATAATCTACCGGGTGCTAGGAATATAAAGATAAAAGGCATAACCTTACCATCTAGAAGCTTAAGGCCTAGTAAGGATGTTGGAACAAAAGACATTAAAATACAGTGTAGACCCGGCGCAGTGGCTCACACCTGCAATCCCAGCACTTTGGGAGGCCGAGGTGGGTGGATCACTTGAGGTCAGGAGTTTGAGACCTGCCTTGCCAACATGGTGAAACCCTGTTTCTACTAAAAATACAAAAATTAGCCAGGCATGGTGGCGGGCGCCTATAGTCTCAGCTACTTTGGAGGCTGAGGCAGGAGAATCACTTGAACCTGGGAGGTGGAGGTTGCAGTGAGCCGAGATTGAGCCACTGCACTCCAGCCTGGGCTACAGAGCGAGACTCCATCTCTACATAAATAAATAGAAAATAAAATATAGGATGGGTGTAGTGGCTCACACCTATAATCCCAGCACTTTTGGGAGGCCAAGGCGGGCACATCATGAAGTCAGATCAAGACCATCCTAGCTAACACAGTGAACCCATCTCCACTAAAAATACAAAAAATTAGCCAGGCATGGTAGCACACGTCTGTAATCCTAGCTACTCAGGAGGCTGAGGCAGGAGAATTGCTTGAACCCGGGAGGCAGAGGTTGCAGTGAGCTGAGATCACACCACTGCACTCCAGCCTGGGCAACAGAGCGAGACTCTACCTCAAAAATATATACATAAATAAAATAAAATACAATGTAATGCACATGTAGTAGTGTTTCTTTCCATAGGATGCCTGACAGTGGTTACATTTTAGTAAGACTATATCAGTGTAGGCTGCGATAAAAAAAAAATCATTGTGGAATTGTTGAGCCACCCACATCCTTACTGGGTAGGGGGTCAAATAAGTAGCTTCAGTTGTTCTTCAAGGGAGGTATCAGGAAAGCTCCTACGGTTTTTAAATTTTTTTTTTAAGGGAGTTAGTCATCAATGAGGACTAGAAGGATGATGGCTCTAAACCCTCAAGGTGGTGAAAACTAGAATCAGCCTTGATTTAGCATGCCTGAGCACCAACCCCAGGAGGGAGATGTGTGTGGAAATAGAAATAAATCCCATGAGAATCAGACACCTAGAGCCTAGCCTGGCAGCACCTGAGGGCCCTTGGATCAGGGTGACATTGGGGCAGGCTAGAAAGGTCTTACTCTGGCCCAGAGTAAGACTCTGATGCTTTGCTGACACCACTGTGCCAGTTCGCCAATGCTTTATCTCCATTTATGTTACATCTTCTGCCAA